AGAAGTCCTTATCAGAAGGACTGCTGATAATAGCTCACCTTAATTGATTAGTCTCATTATAGTTGGTATGGCAACACCCATTTTTTTATGTTCTCTGTGTATATATATCTCCCTACTGTATTTTCCACTGCATGCATCTGATGAAGTGGGCTTTAGCCCAAGAAAGCTAATGCCCAAATAAATTTGTTAATCTCTAAGGTGCCACAAGTACTCCTCATTCTTTAAGCCTGGACTAGCTTACCTGGCTGAGGGTATAGGTTAAAACAGAGCCTGGGCTCTAACTCTGTCTGGAACCCACTCATTTTGAAGTGAAGATGCACACATAATCACTTGAGTGCTGATAGTCCTCTAATACCTTCCCATAATTCCCCCCAAGTTCTTCCACAATTGACTGGGAAAGAATCCTAGAGCATCTCAACACAGAGAACCATGGGATATGCCTCTAGACACACAGGCAAATGCAGAAACAGTGAGAGCACAGTAATGCATGTAAGGATTTGCTGCAGGGACACTCACACCAGGCTAAGTTAACTCGGGTGCTAAGAGCCACATGCCAATCACCCGGGTTAATTATGCACTGAAGCCATAACCTAAGTCACTTTTGAAAATGGGCCTTAGGCTCTAAGTCACTGAAATGCTTTTGAAAATTCTGCCCTATACCAGTATGCAAGCATGGTTTAAAATACACAGAGGTTTTATTTGGAAATATGAGCCTTTGACAACCGAGGCATTTAAAAAGAGACTGTGAAATAGTTAAAACCCAAAGTTTAAGCTTTAAAAATATTACAAAAGTTAATATTAAAAAAAATTATCCTTTTTTAAAAAATTGAAAACAGTTTTGTGTTTGGATTTGAACATTTTCTTGCAATGTTTGCTCTGAAAAAAAAAGTAAATTGTATTAGTGAAACTGGATAAGAACGTTTTTCTTCTGCCAGAGTGAAGTATAAAAAGTAAACACACAGCAAAAAACGTGGAAGAGTAAATTAGATCATAAAATATAATCTAAGGCAAATACAAGTTTTACATGCTTCATTTCTAACTTGATAGTGTCCCAGTAAGGCAGAAAAATAGCACATTATATATTATATTCCATTATATTATTTTTTCCTACTAACGCTCCCAAATGTCACCTACTGTACTGGACCCTTTCTAAATTATTTTATTTCTGCAACTAAAGCTGTAATTATAGACTGAGTGGTAAAAATAAATGTTTGTACAACCATGGTCCTTCCTGGAAACTCCCCAAAACCTCAATGACTAAAATATGTCATTTAAAAACAATATTGTGATTCATTTCAATATTACATGATTACACTGAATACAAGATATATATTTTTTCCTAAAGTGCACTTTTTACCTAATTACCTAAGACATTATGATCATGGCCCAGAAATTTCAATAACCTGAATTCTATTGATATTAGACAACATAATATTAACGCAATATGAAGATTTACTATGTTATCATGAACAATGTTAGTGCCATATGATATTAAACAGTAAATATGAAGACAACGTAATACAGTTCAAAAATAATCAGTCCCATTTGAGAGACGTGTCAGTGAAAATAGATTCCTTGTAAGCTGAGTCAGAAGGGTAAGAATATTGAGGCCTAGGGACTCCCATTTGCTTTATATCTTGCACACATTAGGTCTCCTTGCTCCATTGCCTGTTAAATATTACTGGACAAATTTGCTAGCCTTTATTCTCAGGCTTGGCCACTACAGCATTAAATGCTAATTCAATAAATAGACAGCGTGACATTATAATCTAAGTACCATTACATGATGTTTGGATGTTAACTTTAAAACACCTCCACATATGTCATTGTCAGGCATATAGTATAGGTATACTTATCAATTTCATGTTTAATCCACTATCCATTCTTCTGTTTATAGCTATTGATTAGTAATGATTTTTTCACAAGAATAATGCTAATCTTGCTTGATGTTTCCTCTAAACTATTTTATCTTATACTGTTTTTCACTTGCATGACATAGAACATTATGTACATCATCATGCACTGTGCGCTACTAGTCAAAGCTGCAGAATAAGCCTATGCAGATGTAATACAAAACAGAAATATATGAATGAGATAATCCATTCATATGACATTGAACACTTCCAATCATTTATTACTGCAGAACTGCTGTATGCGTTTCAGATTCCACACTTTACAGTTGCCTGTGGATAAGGAAATGCACAACTAGCTGAAAAAATAAATAAAATAAAACTGTTTCCTAAGGGACATTACAGTCTCACCTTATCGTCCTGAGGGATCAGGAATTCTGTGTTATCTCTATTTTTATTAGTAATGCAACAATAGTCTTTCAACCATTCTTCCTGCAGGATAAATGCTCTTTTTTGGAAACTGAAGACATATGATTAGCTCATATGCTAAAACCTGACAGAGGTTCCCAATATTTACCAGTCTATCCATCTGGTACCTCAAGAAGAAGTAATAAATGGGTTATGTATCTATTCAAAGGGGATTTTTATATCCTCCCACAAAGTCATTACTTTAGTAATATGAACTTTGCTCTCTTGCTCACGATAAAATGAAACCATTCTGTTACTAATTTAATTCCTATTTAGCTTCGATAAGACAATTTTCTATACCTGGAAGCTGCAAACTAACTAGAATGCTCAATGGGAGAACAAGACTTTACTGACATACTTGCATTAAAATAGACAGCATGTGCATCTCTTGAGAGTAGAAAAGCACTTTGCGCTTAATATACACAGCTTTTGCTATTCCTTATATTGTTTTCTGAAGAAAAACATTTTGACACTCCCATTTTTTTCATTAAAAATTTATAATTTTAATAAAGGAGCATTATATCTTTTCATCTGTATGTAACTGAAGCTAAATCGGTCTCTTACCTTATAGGGAAATGGATCAGCTTCATGGATGTAACAGGATGAGTGATGTATAAAATGTTGTTCAACTAACTTTGTGCATGATTTACTTTTTCATGCCAGGAAAACTTCTCTCTATTAGCATTTTCAGAAAGCTAAAAAAGATGATGATATATTCAGTACAATACCCAATTAAATTACTAGAAAACCAGAGGAAAAAATTAGGGCTGTCAAGCAATTAAAAAATTTAATCATGATTAATCGCACTGTTATACAATAATAGAATACCATTTATTTAAATATTTTTGGATGTTTTTTACATTTTCAAATATATTGATTTCAATTACAATACAGAATACAAAATGTGCAGTGCTCATTTTATATTGATTTTTAATTACAAATATTTGCACTGTATAAAACAAAAGAAATGGTATATTTCATTTCACCTAATACAAGTACTGTAGTGCAATCTCTTTATCATGAACTTACAAATGTAGAATTATGTACAAAAAATAACTGCATTCAAAAATAAAACAATGTAAAACTTTAGAGCCTACAAGTTCACTAGGTCCTACTTCAGCCAATTGCTCAGACAAACAAGTTTTATTACATTTGCAGGAGATAATGCTGCCCGCTTCTGATTTACAACGTCACCTGAATGTGAGAACAGGCATTCGCATGGCACAGTTGTAACCGGCATCACAAGATATTTATGTGCCAGATGCACTAAAGATTCATATGTCACTTCATGCTTCAACCACTATTCCAGAGGATATGCGTCCACGCTGATGATGGGTTCAGCTCGATAATGATCCAAAGCAGAGCAAACCGATGCATGTTCATTTTCATCATCTGAGTCAGATGCCACCTCGATAATGATCCAAAGCAGAGCAAACCGATGCATGTTCATTTTCATCATCTGAGTCAGATGCCACCAGCAGAAGGTTGATTTTCTTTTTTGGTGGTTTGGGTTCTGCAGTTTCTGCATCAAAATGTTGCTCTTTTAAGACTTCTGAAAGCATGCTCCACACCTGGTCCCTCTCAGATTTTGGAAGACACTTCAGTTTCTTAAACCTTGGGTCGAGAGCTGTAGCTATTTTTAGAAATCTCACATTGGTACCTTGTTTGCGTTTTGTCAAATCTGCAGTGACAGTGTTCGTAAATCAAACAACATGTGCTGGGTCATCATCTGGGACTGCTATAGCATGAAATATATGGTAGAATGTGCGTAAAACAGAGCAGAGGACATACAATTCTCCCCCAAGGAGTTCACTCAGAAATTTAATTAACGCACTATTTTTTTAATGAACATCATCAGCATGGAAGCATTCCCTCTGGAATGGTGGCTGAAGCATGAAGGGGCATACGAATGTTTAGCATATTTGGCATGTAAATACCTTGCAATGCTGGCTACAAAAGTGAATGCCTGTTCTCACTTTCAGGTGACATTGTAAATAAGAAGTAGGCAGCATTATCTCAGTAAATGTAAACAAACTTGTTTGTCTTAGCGATTAGCTGAACAAGAAGTAGGACTGAGTGGACTTGTAGGCTCTAAAGTTTTACATTGTTTTGTTTTTGCGTGCAGTTATGTAACAAAAAAAATCTACATTTGTTACACTTTCACAATAGAGATTGTACTACAGTACTTGTATGAGGTGAATTGAAAAATACTATTTCTTTTGTTTATCATTTTTACAGTGCAAATATTTATAATAAAAACTAATATAAAGTAAGTACTGTACACTTTGTAGTCTGTGTTGAAATAGAAATCAATATATTTGAAAATGTAGAAAAACATCTAAAATATGTAATACGTTTCAATTGGTATTCTATTGTTTAACAGTGCGATTAATCGTGATTAATTTTTTTAATCGCAGTTAATTTTTTTGAGTTAATCGCATGAGTTAACTGCAATTAATCAATAGCCTTAAAAATATAAAACTTATGCAGAAATTACATTTTCTATGCCAAATTACTTTTTATGAGGAACGGTAGAATTATTGGAAAAAAATTAAAACACTGGTGAACCTCCAATAACCTTTAAAAAAAACCTACTTGGTACAAAATGTGTACAAGTTTTCTGTCCCATTTTGCTTTCATGAAATGCATTATAATCAGAGCTGGGCAAAGGTTTTTAGGTGACTAGTTTGTTTGCCAAAAATGTGGTTTCAAGTTGACTTAAACTATTCACAAATTCAGGTCAAATTTGCTGAATAGTTTCAGCCAAAACATGATTTTTTTAAAAGGTCTAAATATTTCATTTTTAACGTGTTCACAGCAAAATGTTCTGACTTTTCGTTTAGTAATGATATTTTGTTTAGAAATTTATGTAGATTTATTTAAACAAACATAACAAAAAACCAAAAAAGGGTAAAAATAACCCAAAACTAAAAAAATAGAGAAACATACAAAAATTAATTTCAGGTAAAATTTAAAGGATTTTTTTGTTTAATTTTTTTGGTTTGTTCACCAAACTGAAAAAACAATTATCCACTCAGTGTTAATTATAGTGTGACCAACTTACAAGAACAAAATAATGGAATAATACTGTTTCAAGCAAACCTGCTCACTATTCTATTTCTAATCAACTTAAATTGTAGTTTGTATTTTATTTCTTCAGGCATGAAAAGAATCAACATTTTCTTTACTAACCTTTGGAGGTATTTCAGTGCAAAGCCTCTTTTGTTCTCCAGGACCTATGTGATGTAGTCCAATATTCATTTATTTATCGTACCTGCGTAAACGTCCCGTGCTTCCTATGCAACAACATACAGCAACAAAGAACATGCAGTCATTAAAAGCATTAAATAAATGTCACTTACTATATCACAAAATAATGTGTGTAACAATCTTTCAGAATTTGTTGACAATAGATGATGGAACGCAATCTTTGTTGTTTAAGTTCTGAATATGCTACTTACGCAAAACTTTGAATATGAGGCCAAAGTATAACAACTCAGGCTTAGTTTTAAGCATTTAAGCATAAACATTTCATATGTTTCTATATTATCTCAGATTATCTCATTTATCATAATTATCTAAATCTATTATCTCAGATTGTATCACACAATTGGACTGATAATCACTTGCTTAGTGTTCAAAGATGAAAAGTAAAACACTGAAATCTAACTATATCCTAAAGACAAGGAGACACTGTAAGAAAATGAATATATTTACATTCAAGGGAACATCATGCTTCCTTCCTTGATTCTTCAAGAGCACCGTATGCACAAGGGAAAGAAAAGCCTAATAATCCAATGCTCCTGCCCATTCATGGTAATCTCGTTATTGTAAAAAATTTAGAGAATACTAATGGGGAATGGACAGCTTAGAGGAGAGGTAATGGGATTTAGGTCTTGATCCGACAAGCATTCCTTTGAGGTGCCCAGTTCTCACAACTCCTGCTGATTTAAATGAAAGCTAAGAGGACTCAGCACTTAACAGAATTGCGCCCTCATAGCTTTTCACTTCTAGACTCCAGGTTGGAATGAAGTCAAGACCAGTCGTGACCAAAATATTTTACTATTTGATGGGGCTGTACTGCAGTGAAAAACCAGTTGGATGCCTTGATCCATTTGTCACTGAACATGTGTCTCCACCACAAAATTGGTGTTGATTGTCACTCATGTAGAGATTTTTAGAAAGGAACTGGAAGAGAATCTACATGGAGGATCTCTCTCCACTCTAATGCTGGTCCTATAACAAATCTGAGGTTCACTAGCAAAGCAGAGTAGGGAAGCTTGCCAGTTTCCTTTCTGTGATTCACATCTTCTGTGGATGGGGGACATCATGCTCTAGAGTTGCTAAGTAGACACTTTAAATTAATACTAAATTCACATGTAAAAATCGTAAAAAACAATGAAAGGGGAATGTGTGTTCAGGTTTTTCTCTATGAAAGGCAACAAACAAGGAGTTATGGAAGAGCCACAGTCAATCTGAAAATCCCCGGTGAGATTTCCAAATGTGCTTATTAGTGACCTTTCTCTCCTCCCATTAAAGGCAATGGTAAAACTCTCATTGACTTCAATGGGAGCAGTGGTAGGCCAACACAAAGCATGCTTCTGAAAATCCCACCCAAGATTTTCTGCTGAAAATGTTGTACCCAGTGTTGCAGAGACTCTCAATATTATGCTGAATCTTGTGATATTTGGCATTTTTCTCAAACACGCAGCTCCTGGAGTCAAGTGATTACATGAGAATCTAAGCTGTCATTATTATTATTTTTAAATAAGTAATCTCTTAGCCATCGTGGTTGCAAAGAAAAGTTTGAAAACATGACCCGAGTGCACCCCAAAGGCTCAGACCACCAGAAGACAAATACATTTTGTGTTGGCTTTGTTATGTTTTTAAATTTTCATCTCAAAATTTTTTTGAGGCTTGACTCACGATTTGGGTTTAGCAATGCTCTATAGCTATTACTGACATGAGTGGCCTCTGTGATTATTGCAAGTGAAACAATATTTTCTCTACTTTTCCAGCTTGTTTACTTTGACATATGGTCATAGCCACTGTTCTCTTGTTGCCGCTCACCCCTCAAGTTACAAGTGCCTCCAACAGGGCACTTACCAATAAGGGCAGCAGCAAAGCTGAAATGGAAACTGAAACTAAGGGGGCAACAGACAGGTGTGTGCAGACAGAAAGAGCGAGTAGGGTAAAGTGGATCTGAGCATTTTGGCCCACCCAAGACACTTCTAGCTCTAAACATCTACCAGGAGCAGAAGAAAACCTTATGTATTAAAGGGATTTTTAAATATTCCAGGACATACTAATTAACGTGTGCTCTGTCAGAAAACTTCACATTTCAAAAACTTCAGGTTAACAATGTCCCTTTAAACTCGGGGTTTTCAGAGGGGTTAAGCTATGATCATTATTGTATATAATGGTATATTTCTCAATGGCAATAGTCATTAGAATACTCCCCCCACTGTACTTGTCAAACATTAGTGTAAAACCAATAATGAGTCATCTTCCCATCATTTTTCACACACCTGCGTTAAATCCTGAAGGGATTTGTTCCAATCGGGATGTCTGAATAGTTTCCCTGCAGCCATTCTGCACTAAGTGGACTCACTACAGAAGGGTCGATGGATTGTTCAATAAGCCTGTAGTATCTGCAGAATGAAAATGCAGTGTGAGAGAAAGATGATTTCTGGTAACTTTGCTGCTCTGTCAGCAAATCCTGAGAGAGAGAGAAAGCATAAAGGTTGTTTTCCGCAATATATGTGACATCCTAGTTTGAAATGACACAGCTCATGTTATTCTGTGACAAGCCCTGTATTAAGACATGACAGATATAAACCCATAAGAACAGCTATCCTGCCAAATACAGATCCACAGATTAATAGATTCCAAGGCCAGAAGGGACCTCTGTGATAATGTCACCTGACCTCCTGTATAACAGAGGCCATCGAATTTCCCCACAATAATTCCTAGAGCAGATCTTCCAGAAAAACATTCAATCTTGATTTAAAAATTGTCAGTGATGGAAAATCCACCATGATGCTTTGTAAATTATTCCAATGATTAATTACTCTCACCATTAAAAATTTACACCTTATTTCTGGTCTGAATTTGTGTAGTTTAAGTGTCCAGCCATTGGACTGTTATATGCTTCTTTACTAGACTGAAGTGTCCATTATTAAATATGTGTTCCCCATGTAGGTATTTACAGACTGTAATCAGTCCTTCTCTTTGTTAAACTAAATAGATTGAGCTCTTGGGTCTCTTACTATAAGACATGTTTTCTAATCCGTTATTCATTCTCATCGCTCTTCTTTGAATCCCCTCCAATTTATCAACATCCTTCTTGAATTGTGGGCATCAGAAGTGGACATAGTATTCCAGCAGCAGTCACACGAATCCCAAATAGATAAAATAACTTCTCTACTCCTACCTGAGATTCCCCTGTTTATGCATCCAAGGATCTCATTAGCCCTTTTGGCTACAGCATCACAATGGGAGTTCATGTTCAGCTGATTATCCCCCATGACTCCTATCTCTTTTTCAGTCACTGTTTCACACAATAGATTCTCCCATCTTATAAGTATCACATAAATTTTTTGTTCCTAGATGTATACATTTACATTTAAGTGTATTAAAATGCATATTATTTGCATGCGCCTAGTTCACCTTGCGATTTAGGTTGGTCTGTATTAGCAACCTGTCCTTTTAATTATTTAACACCCCCCCAATTTCTGTGTCATTCACTAACTTTATTAGTGATGATTTCATGTTTTCTTCCACGTCATTGATAAAAATGTTAAATAGCATAGGTCCAAGAACAGACCCCTGCAGGACCCCAGAAGAAATACATGCACTCAACAATGATTCCCAGTTTACAATTATATTTTGAGACCTATCAGTTAGCCAGCCTGTAAACCATTTAATGTGTGCCATTTTAATTTTTAGATTGAATTGAGCTCATGATAAAGCTTTGACGTGATATTTTCTTGCTTAACTGTTGCCAGAGCGAGTGTTGCTTCATTTCAAACTATAAATTAAGTTATTCTTCACTTTATCATCAATTTAAGTCTTGAACACTCTACAAGTTTCAAAATGCTAAGCAGTTTACCTTATGATGAAACTCTGCAGAAACATTTTGATGTAATCATAAGAGTCACAACTATGAAAGAATATTAGTTGTTCTCTGAGAAAATGCAACATAAAAGATCACCCACTCCTGCCTCCACATCCCTACAACAAGGCCAAGGTGGGAACTCCGTAAGCTCAACATTCTGAAGCTCTGGTCCCACAAGGGGCATGCTTTACCAGCTACTGCAATGGAAGGCATGCACTCCCTCGTGCTTTAGTCATCAGTTCCTTTTAAAGCAAGATGTGAAGTTACTCACACAGGTAGCAAAGGGATTTGAATGATAAAGATAGAACAGGTTATCAAAGCATCAGCTCTCTTTTGGAAGGAGTGGTAGAATGCTGATCTGTTATGATGTTCAGAGGAGAATTATTATAGGTGAGTCATCCTCCCTTACAAATACTCTATAAAATAGATTCAGACTCCTGCAGACATAAGGGCTCTAGCAATGAGTATGAACGAAACGCCAGCAAAAGGCAGTGGAAGGTAAAATCATGTGAACACTGCTTTTTTTTTTTCTTCATATTTTTTATAAATTTTAGGAGTTGTTGCTCTTTAAACAGTTCCCGCAACAACCAGAAAAAAATAAACACAGAGAAACAACCTAAAAAGAGAGAGAGTTTGTGTAACCTTGCTCCTGGACCCTGTATGGAAAGAGGTTCTGTGATACCCCAAACCTCGACTCCTATCTCCATACACAGCATGGCTAAGGAGTAAGCTTTACTTCCCATCTGATTTAGATTCTTCAATTTTCTGTTTTGAGGAGCAGGGCTAAAAGATTTAACTCCCTTTAGATCCACGAGAGGTTTCCACCACCAAAAACTGACAATTTGTTGGAGCACCTAGAAAAGACAGAAGATTTCCAGGCCACAGATGGGGAAAAAGGAGATTGTAACCACAGCTCCTAGTCTAGCTGTAATGTCTAAATTGACTGGGAGAGCTGTCATGTCGTAGTACTTCAATGTTAGGATACCAAATAGTTTGTGAACCTTCTCCCAGCTAAACAAGGCAGAAAAGTTCATAGCTTGGGTCAATCAGACCCCCAACTTCCTAAAGCACTTAGGAGATGATAAGGAGGGAAATTACCACTGAGCTATACTACATTCTAGACAAGGTAGGCACTGCCTCCGTGATCCATCCTCTCTCCTCTACCTCAGACCCAGAGAAGTTATCCCTGACAGGGGCACACTCAGGAAACTTTTTTTTGGACAGGATAGCATATTATATTCAATTTTTTTTATCCTGGGGAGAAGGGGAGAGAGGATTATTGTGGTATCTAACATGATGCTGGAGCCCTACAGAGAAATGCTACTTGAGTCTATTGACTCACTGTGGCAGGTGTAGCTACTTGCGCCCCTGGCTACAAGGGAAGAGCAGAGGAATGTAGGGTCTGGGACTAAGCAATCTTCGTAGAGGAACGGTAGGAACAGCCAAGTGTAGGGACATGGCTAGGGCTGGAGTTTACATTGTTAATAAAAGCCAAATGCCAGGAAGGGGTTGAGTTTTGAACGTGAGTGTTTTGGAGCGGAGCATGGGGTGAAAGGCACCTGATCACAAAGTCACTGGTATTTCTATTTCCTTAAATGTTGATCATCGTCTTAGATTTGATTAATGCTCATAATGTCTCATTCATACAGCATCTTTCATGCTGAAGAATCACAAAGCACCACACAAACTATAGCATATAGGAATCACTTGCATGCTGAAATGCAACCATGTTTGGGGTGGTTGATGGCAGCCAGCTGGCTAATATTATGCAAGAAGTAGAAGTTTGGCCAAAGAGAAACTTCTACTGTTTTGAAAAGAGCCATGGGGTTCTTTCATGTCCACAAATACCAGACAGGACCTTGGTTTACAAAGGCCTTACCCAGATGCCCATCACAAAGAAAATTTAATAGAGCTCATATTACACTCCATTGAAGGATGAAAGAGTGAATGGTCCCTTCTGGGATTCAAACTCATGTTTGCAGGGAATTTAGGTAGTTCAAAAGTAATGCTTAGACCACTAAGCATTTTCCTCCAATATTAACTGATGAATAATCAATGTTATGCTGAAATGCCAGTATCCTAGCAGCTACTTCTAAAGAAATGTACTCATTGGAATAAACTATAAAAGAATTTCGAGAATCATTATACACTAAATATAGAACAGATATTATGTAAATAAAGCACAGAATATTCAATCAATTTTAAAATAATTAGCACTTATACATCTTAGCTTTATATCTTCAAAGTGCTATATAAACATTAGCTAATTAATCCTCACAACACCCCTGTGAGCTGGGAAGCTATTACTATCTACATCTTACAGAGAAGTAACTGACTTGCCCAATGTCACAGAGTGAGCAAGTAACAGAATCTAGATTTTTGACTCAAGAGCTCCTAATGCCCAGTCCTCTTCTCATTCTTCTAAATATTTCTATTGGGATCTTATTATTCTATGAAAACACTGAGATTATCAGAAGAATGCTATTTACACTTAAAACATGGTCAGAAATTATTCTGTCACACAATATGCATCAGCTACAATACTAAAGTTTTTGACAAATGTGAATTACAAAGAAATGTATATCATTCTTTTATAACTGTGGAAATGGAAGTTATAGGACACTTATTATAATTTCTCAAATTCTGATGAGGTCTACTTGAAAAGGTAAAACAACGTTTACTTTAGCTCATAAAATAGAGTTTTCAGATCTTACTGCCACATGCTTGCTAAGCTACTTCCATTTTACATATTTTTGAGTTACTGAAAATTAAGGCAAACACTGTAGAATCAAAAACAATTTTCAGTGCAGAAAATACAGTATTCAGAATAATGTATGTTCATAGGCTCAGAGCTCCCCAAAGTCCTCAAGAGAGTATAACAAATTCACAGGTATCTCCGAGTCCTAAATTTTGCATTCTGATCTTTGATTCAGCTTGCAAATGTTTAAAAATGCATGCAACCAGACAGCTCCCTTTTGGCTACATGTCTGAGTAGGCTCAAACATCTAAATTATTCTATCAAAGGTCAACTGTAACAGATACCCAAAACTGGTTTCAAATCCACCTGGAAAGAACTACGGAATACAAAGACCCTTAGTGTTTGAGCATTTTTCTCCATTTTTGACCAACACACATTTCTTTTAAGGGATCTGCTCCCACAGGTAGACACCAGTATTTTGAAGAATGGAGGTAACCTGGAAGCGTGTAAGAAAAGCTTATATCTTATATGTTTTCAGAGTCACATTCACTTAAAACCCACATCACAAAAGATACACAATGCAGATATGATAGCAGAATTTCAACTTAAGCACCATATTATGGTATTCAAGTCATAACAGTACTAGAATTTTTCAGGTCATTGGGCGTAGATGACATCAAATACATTCATGTCTCAACACTGACATCAGAAATGAGGAAAATTACAGCCTTAGTGGGCCTTTAAAAAAATCTCATAACTCTACCCCATTTAATATCACTAAAATACTTATGGCAGACCTCTGAGGAATAAGGGACAATCTCTATTCTGTTACACTG